TAGAAACTTTGACAGCATTTGAATAAATGACCTTAGTCTCTCGCATTAACATTCCACTACTTTTCATCATTCACCATTTTCCATTCATGAGGGGAGGGGAGGGGAGTTGAGGGGAGTTGCCTCGTATGGGTACTCACGTCCCGTTCGCATCTCCCCTTTGGTTTTCTACAACCTCTTGTTGATTGTAGATTGCCAATGAAGTTGTTAAAATTCTTTTTAAAAAAATGGTTCACTGGTCAAACATAAAGCGCAAAAGCGAGGCGCCAAGGTGCTTTCAAAGGATTATTCAAATTTGAACCTTGCAACCTCGACTAAATGCTTTGTGTTTGATCTGTGATGAAAAATGGTGAATGGCATGGTGAGATTAACCAACACCAAATACTCGAGCTTCGAGTTGTCTGTTGCTGTTCGGTTTTAGCTTGATTTTGTGCAGAATATTGATGTATTTTTGATTGTTGAAGTTGTACATTCTTTACATATCATTGGTATTTGTGAATATATAGACACTGGTTTGAGTAAAACTGAGTAAATTAGCCTGTAATCAAGAGATACAGAATAATTTAGAACTGTAAAATGGTCTGTTTGCTATCAATATGTAGGAAGAGGGATAGCAATACCAATAACGATAACGATAGCCGGATAGCGACAGCGAATAGAACAGGGATAGAAGAAAGAGGAGAGGAGAGGAGAGGAGAGGAGAGAAAAGAAAGGAATAGAATAAATAATTTATTTAATGTAAAAAAAAACACAGATTATTTAGTCGAAACAAAAACATGACGGTTATTTTCTTGCAGGTGTAATGGAGGGTACTTTGGATTACAAACAACAAAATTATTTAAGGATTAGCTCAAAATGGACCAAGGGATACTTTGTTTTAACGTAAGTATTTTGAAAACAACAAAACAAAACGAAGAGAAAAAAACAACAACGACAACAAAATATTGGCAATGAACAAAACGAAATAAAGAGAAAAAACCAGCAATAACAACAACAAAAAAATAAGAATAAAAAACATGCATAATTCAAATGTTCGTTGATGCCAAATTTACATTTTTAACCCCTTTGTTTCAGTAATGGGACTCTGTGGCAATATTCAAAYCAGGTATTTCTTTCATTATTTTTGCTGTTCATTATATATTTTACATCTATTTTAACCAATTATATACTTTTTTGTATCAAGTTTTACTTTGACCAGGAACCATTGTATTGTGGTCACAATCCAGGAAAAGTGAAGGCCTATACTTCCGTTGAAATACTCAAATTATATATTCATTTTTTCCCCAGAATGATAAAGTGGCGAAGAATATGGTAGATCTAAGGTAGGTATACGTGGAATAGTAGAATAGTAGGTCTTTATTCAGTGCGGGGAGGATGTCTGGCAAGTGAAGTGTGCAGACGTTTTTGGAGGGTATGGTATCACTGGCCACTATAAACGAATCATGCTACTCCTTAAACTCATTCAAAAGTATTGAAATTTGACATTCATTTTTAAAGACATTTGATCGAGCCCTTGTAATTAGRCATTCCGAGGTCAAGAAAAATACCAGGTCTAGTTGGCATTGCCATGCACTTTGGGGCTGAGTTAGAGGATATATTTCCAAGGTGGCGTTTCAAGAATGTAAAATCACGAAAGACCGACCATGGTGGCCATGTTTGTTGATATGCGACTACACGAGATATCTAAATCAGAGTTGTGTGTTATTATTGCAGTACTCTTCGTTGTGGTGGATGCAGACAGTTACATGATCCTGAACGGCCATATGCATTTGAGGTACGCCTTGCCTTGCCTTGCCTTGCCTCGCCTTGCCTCGCCTCGCCTCGCCTCGCCACGCCACGCCACGCCTCCCCATACAAAATCACATCTAATTCTGTCGCCTATTATGTTTTCTTTATCTCAATAGGTTGTATCGTCTGATGGAACTGGCTCACTTATGGTACTCGCTGCTCATAATGAACACGAAGCATGTGAATGGATTTTTAAGATTTGCCAATCGATTGCTGAATCTGTAAGTTGGTAGCATATTCCATTCCATTTCAATCGACAAGAGAAATCTACGTTGTACTCAGTCCCTACTAGGAAAATACTAACCCAAAAAAATTGACCCATAATTCCTTTCGGGGAACGCGGTCAACTCGGCTGGTTCTGTGAATTCYCGTTACCATACTTCTCTCAAACCAATAGCCCCTTTCACAGTTCCCTGCGCCATCTTGAAAGGTAGCCGTAACTTTGCATCTAAGCGAGACGAACGGTGAGCTTGCAATTATAGAGACGTGAATAATTGTCCCAGGTGTTAAGAAAAGGTCTCTATCATTACAAGCTCACCGTTCGTCTCTCTCCGATGAAAAGGTACGGCYACCTTTCAAGATGGCGCAGGGAACTGTGAAGGGGACAATTATATTTGTTGCTACTTCATTTGGTTATTGAACATTAACTTTTTTATCTGCAGTACGATGACGATTCAGATAGAGGATGTACGGTSATGAAGTGTTTTCCTTGTTGTCTTATCACTACTAAAGAAAAGGTATAATAATAATAGTTTGTGTTAACGTGACTAGATCATTGGCGAGGGAGTACGACCCTGCGAGCAGAGGTTTTCTTCTCCGTAGGGCTGATACCAGCCTGCAGGAAAAAGACTTGCAATAATCAGGGTGGGGAGGGAGGAAAACCCTTGAATCAAGGGAGAGACCTAGGTAACAAACATGAAAACATAAATATGCATCTTTTACGGTCATCTGAACAATTAATAGACCCCTTGCAGCGCGTTGTAATACAGCTCAATTTAGAAAACATAACAATAGGTTTCCAATTCTCATGAGACTGGAATTCTTTTGTTTTGTTCTCCAAATTGAGCTGCTATGACGTCACATAGAGGGGGCTTATATTCCCTTTCAAATTCTGTAAATACCGTTGTTTTATGACTGAAGACTCATCTGCATGGGATTAGCCTGGTTCAAGAGTAAACCATTTGTAAAAGTCAACTGTATTGTAAAGAATGTTCAGATTGAACCATACCAATGTTTTGAAATTCCACGGAATGCTTTTTAATGGTATCTGTTAATAGCTGACTTATAAACGAGGGTAAACCTGTGCAAATGAGTCTCTGGTCTTTAAAAACAGCGGCATGCATCGAATGCGTAAACTGGTGCATTTGGATTATTTTTTTTCTATTTTAACTAGATTGTTATTTGCCTGGCTCAACCAAACAACGAGAGTGAGTACAAGTACATCACTAGCTCCCCAGTGCAGGACATCACCAAGATATTCGTGGATAACACCTACAGAAACTATTGTATTATCGTAAGTTTACTTTTGACTGGATYTCTAAGGCCTAAGGTAAACGTCGAACTTTCCRTGCACCGAACTTAATTACATCAAAGAATGCTGCCTCATWATYACCTGATATCCATTGTTTTTAATGAGTTCGGTGCATGGAAAGTTCGACGTTTGCCCTAGGCCTATTTTTTGTTAATATAAAGAAATGCTCGCTTCTTTGATTAGTATGAGACACGTGCCTTATGAGAGCACAATCTATCGTTCTTCAATACATATCCAAAAAATGACTATCTAATTTTTGTATTTCATAAACTAAGTAAAATACTTCATTGCTCACTGTTCAGTATGCAGTTGTAACTTGAAGCTCTTGGAGATTGGCAAGTCGATCGAGAAGTGTTGTCGTTCTCCTAACGCTCTCGTCTTCTGTCAATCCCCTCGTACTTAAAATAATAATTTCTCGCATTTTTCAGTATACATTTTTCATTTCTTTGTTAATACAGCTAAAGAGTATGCTGCCAACTCATTATTGATTTTACTTTTTTATCGCAAGTCAAGTTATAAACGAATGAGTGAAACTTCGACATTTCATCTGAAAATAGGACTCAGCTTTAAAATAGTACTTCGGACGCTTTGGCCGTTTGAACCCTTCGCATGGTTTTTTTGTTCATTACTGGGTTGCCTGTGGCAAACCAGTCTTTAAACACGTCTGGTTTTTTTTCCTCCTCGACAAAATGGAAAAGTTGCGCAATATTACCCATATATGGATTGGATGACGTGTCGATAACTTCATGTGCGAGTTCAAAATAATATAAGTAAAGCAGTTTGTAGAAAAGCTCGTCTTATATCGGCGAGTRAACAAAAATTGTCTGAGTGAAATAAACTCACTAAGTTCTGAGCCAATTTGGTCTTGTTTCGATTTGATCCCATAGTCARATTTGTTTGATTTTTCCTCTAAAGTTAGGTATTAGAAAGTATTTTCAAAAAATGAAATAAAAAAGGGGTTAGCCGACTTCGTTTTAGAGCTATAAGAGATTACAGATGTTAAAAGTTTATGAAATTTTGCTTATCAAAACATTGGAATGACGTCATAACAAGGCAACCCAGTATACGCTCTTAGAGCGTCTTGTTATTTTTACAACGAGCAATGTCATTAGGTTCGGGTCATGTGAAGTTCAACGTTTATGTTCGGCTATACCTTTACGCTGTGATTTTAATACGTTTGTTTATCTCTTCGAAGAAATTCGACCATAGTGAACTGATGAACGCCGGTGAAGGATCATGGTTCGTGTGGTTCAATACCGAATACGAACTCAGTAAATTTGAAGCCGCAGTAGCTGAGGCATGGCGGGAACTATTTCAGGTATTTATTGAAAGAATTTGTTCTTTTCAGCCAATCATATTGCCGGAAATATTCCAGCTTCGAGTTCTATGTTGCTCAGGGTTCGCCTCGGTTTTGTGCAGAATATTCATGAGTTCCATTCAAGGTCCCTTGAATTTCAAAGTAATAATTATACAGCTTCTCATTAGTCCCATATAGGTAACTGTCCAATTATTTTCTTAATTGGACAG